TGGTCGGTGGCCCATGCTCTATTGGGAGTAACAGGCGTACGTAAGTAGGTGATACCACCATTAAAGACCTGAAAGCACTGGATACCTTATTCATCCTAGGGTGGAACCCCTCAGTAATGTGTATCCACGATCCCGCCTTTGGGACTCGAACCAAAAACCTGCAGTCTAGCTTATATTCAATTGTTAAAAACACTAAAATCTCTACAAATCTCCTTACTGAAAAAAAGATTTAGTCACTTATGGTTAGTTAATATAAAGATAGGGGAGTAGCACGTTCTTAGCACTTATAAATTAGGTATAATTTGTCGTTTCCCGACCAATAGTTACCATTTTAAAATACTGATTAGGCATATTAATTAAGAAAAGACATTTGTGACTTAATACTGAAATAATACAATTGATGGGTAGGTCATCATGCTAATCAAATAGAAGGAAATGAATTCATTTTATTATTATACATAAATCATTATTTTAGTTATTCATGAATCATTTACTAACTTACCACCATGGAAAACCTGGAAGTAATGGAAGGCCGTTTTGTCTTATTATGGGACTCCTCAGCGGCGCATATCCAAGACCCATCCCACGGGATTTGAAACCAGGACTTATCATTCTCGCATGAGAGCACTTAGCCTCTTATCGTTACATTCTAATACTGATCACTGAGAAACGTTTAGTTTACTGATATTCAGTAGATTAATTTTTATATGTCCTCCTAAACACTAAACTGCCTAATAATATCATGTTGATAAGAATTTTACTTCTTGTGATAATCTTCATCATTCTATCATGAATTAATTAACAATTTTTGATGGAGTTTTGTTCTTTGAGCTGGATAGTTTGGTCATGGAGTTTTCATCGTTCTTCTGAACGATACCATCAGCACAAACTTCAGGTAGAAGTCAACTTAAACGCATATTCAACAATTATGTTTCAATGACATGATCTGATATCTTCTTAGAGTTTATCAAGTTTGAAATGATACAACAGTCATTCATGAAGAAAGATATTCATATCATTTTACTAGTTATTCAAGTTAAAAAAATTAGTGAAAGATAAAGCGAACGACGTAATGGTGGTTCAGTTGAATGATTGAAACAAACAAAACCAGATAATTTGTTGAAATATCTAGATGAAAGGGACAGTAAACAGGTAGCCCATATATTCAATTGAATGATGATTTGTTAGTTTCATATAACACGCAGATGATATAGTACTGTTTGGTGAAGACGCTGATAAAATGCAGTCATTTGAAAGTATTGAGGAACAATGCCAGAATGTCTGGGATGCGTTTCTCCTACTCTAAATGCAAGTTGTTGCTTTAGGACTAGCCTGCATCAACACCTGAACTAAGGATAAGGAGTGAAGTAGTCGAACGCGTCGACAACTTCACTTATCTCGGAAGTCTGAACAGCCATAATGGGTTAGTGTCTGACGAAATCTCACCACGGATTCGAAAAGCTCGTTTGACTTTTGCCAACTTACGTCACCACCTATGGCGAACGCGAGATATCTGTCTATCAATTAAGGGACAAGTATACTGTGCAGCAGTTCGTTCTGTTCAACTATACGGCTGCGGAACGTGGCTATTATGAGTCGAAGGTATTCGTAAGCTGATAGTATTTAATCACAGGTGACTTGGAAATAATGCTCGCATTTGTTGGGATCAACGGTTAAGTAATAGTGCGGTTCGACGTAGAGTATTAGAGAATGATGATGATAAATCAGTTGATGAGATTGTGAATGTTCATCGACTGAGATGGTTGGTTGGCGTGTCATGTATGCCTGAACACCGATTACCAAGACGCACAATGCTGAATAGTGTAGGGGATGGTTGAAGGAAAGTTAGGGGTGGTCAAACCAAAATGCGGCATCAGTGTTTAAAGTCACTAACTTCTAGTCTGAGACATATTGATAGATGCAGACAACTTGGTTGGGGTGCACGTAACCAACGGTTGGAGACTCTGTGTGACATGGCTCAGAATTGATCACAACGACGTAATTGTATACACTCTTTATCTTCCCTTAAACTATGAGGTTAAAATTGCTTTATATCTTTCTTTCTACAAACTGATTCTTTCTTCTTGTATTATATTATCATACCCAATCTTTCTTTTATATAATACTACCACTGAAGTGATTGCTTCTATGAACTTGATGTTCCTCTCGATGTGCTAATGAGGTGTAGCAACTTGGACCGATGAATATATGTGCCTGGTCTTACGTTGTAACTGACTGACTGTAATCCTAATTGTGAATTGAAAATTTCATTTCTCTCGTAAAATAAAATAAGTTCCTGTCTCTTATTCAACGATAATCTGTTGTTAATGGTCTAACACTTAATCCTCCTTAATGTCATAATGTTAAATTTAGCTTGAAATATAAACAAAATATAAACACCCTGTTGGAATTTCATGATGTTTTGAACTATTCGAGATTCTGTAATAAAAAGCGTGTCAAAGGTCATTAATCATGCTATTGCATTTTCCTTTGATCTCTCTATTGGTCTTCCCATGTTTTATTGTTATCGAAGAATGTTCCCCGTCTGACTTGCTACATAAAGAGATTGTATGCTCTTGAGATTACTGGTCATTTACTCTTACAATTTATCAATCATTGCATATTATCTATTATTTTTTCCCGGGTCTTTGAGAAAAGACTTTACTGTATTGCAAAGAGTGGTGAAGGCATTTAACAAACTGTTTGATGAATCTTTTTAGGTTATTATTAATATGGTTGTGGTTAGATATGTAAACTCTTACAAACTCCTTGTAGGTGTTATCTTATCAGATAATAACCACCCATGTATCTAATTGTATATCTTCTGGTAGAACGAGTCGTCAATACATTAAAATCCATACATTCAAGCAAAAGTATAAAAGTTCTATAACACCTTACCTAGCAAATATACTCTGTGATGAACAGATTGTTAGAGCCGATCTAGTCAACAACTCGTATTCTATTGAAAAGATTTGTACAGGTTCCGAATCTTCATAGAAGACGTTTCATTTAATTCCATGTAGTTTATTTACTTAACTGTGATATGTATGTATGTATGTGTGTATGTATGCATGCAGGTATCAGTTACTTCCATTTTGTTTCTCTCTTTATAAAACACACTTGTTGAAATACTTGATGATGAGAATTCTATATTGTACCATAGATATATAGTATTGAATTAAACCATCAATCATATAGAATGATTTCATCTCGAGTATTTTGTTCTGATGGTGGTAATCATCATTGATTGATCGTATTTTTCAAATTAGTTATTACAGTCGAGTTGGTTCAACATATTATGAAACTAATCAATAGTGGACACTTACAAAACTCCCAGAATCTTCGTATTTCATAACATATTGTTAAGCTTTAGAACCATTAGGTTGTTATCCAGTGGTATACTTATGTATCAACAATATGGAAACTTCTTCGACACTACGGCGTGCCTCAGAAGATAGTCAATATCATACAGAATTCCTATGATGGATTACACTGCAAAATCGTGCATGGAGGACAGTTGACAAAGTCGTTCGAAGTGAAGACCGGTGTTAGGCAAGGTTGCTTACTCTCACCCTTTCTCTTTATCCTGGTGATCGACTGGATCATGAAGACGTCAACGTCTGAAGGGAAGCGCGGGATACAATGGACATCTAGGATGCAGTTGGACGATCTGCACTTCGAAGATGATCTGGCCCTCCCATCACAAACGCGACAACAAATGCAGGAGAAGACGATCAGTGTAGCAGCAGTCTCAGCAGCAGCAGTAGGTCTCAATATACACAAAGGGAAAAGCAGGATTCTCCGATACGACACAGAATGCACCAATCCAATCACAATTGACGGGGAGGCTTTGGAAGATGTAAAAACCTTTACATATCTGGGCAGCACCATTGACGAACAGGGTGGATCTGATGCAGGTGTGAAGGCGCGGATCGGCAAAGCAAGAGCAGCATATTTACAACTGAAGTACATCTGGAACTCAAAGCAACTGTCAACCAACACCAAGGTCAGGATTTTCAATACAAATGTCAAGATAGTTCTACTGTATGGGGCAGAAACCTGGAGAACTACAAAAGCCATCATCCAGAAAATACAGGTGTTTATTAACAATTGTCTACGCAAAATACTTCAGATCCATTGGCCGGACACTATTAGCAACAACCTACTGTGGGAGAGAACAAACCAGATCCCAGTGGAGGAAGAAATGAGGAAGAAGCGCTGGAAGTGGATAGGACACACATTGAGGAAAGCACGCAACTGCGTCACAAGACAAGCCCTCACATGGAATCCTGAAGGTCAAAGGAAAAGAGGAAGATCAAAGAACACATTACGCCGAGAAATAGAAATAGACATGAGAAGAATGAACAAGAATTGGATGGAACTAGAAAAGAAGGCCCAGGACATAGTGGGTTGGAGAATGCTGGTCAGCGGCCTATGCTCCAATGGGAGTAATAGGCGTAAAAAAATACTTATGTATATATCTATACAATTATCGACTTTTTTTCTGCATTTTTGTTATGTAAAGGAAACTTGTTTAAGTACTTTGTTCTAATAATTCTATATTTTTATTGACTAATACGATTAAAGTCGATGATTAAATACGAGGATAGGTGACATATATATATATATATATATATATATATATATATATATATATATATATATATATATATATATATATATATATATATATATATATATATATATATATATATATATATATATATATATATATATATATATATTTCAACGACAATCATCATTACAATCTCCTTCGAGTCAAATCAACGTGCCACTAATTTGAAGAGTCCTTTCAACAACAACATCATTCGATCTAAATGACGATTAAATAAAACGGACCTCCACAGTATACTTATGTATGTATCTATGCAATGATTGACTTTATTTTTCCCCTGTATTTCTCTTTTGTAAAAGAAATTTGTTGAACTAATTCATTTTTATTCTTTATATTTATCTTCTATTTATTCAATTCTAAATAGATTGATGAACACTATACAAATAAATTTTGTTCAATTCTCGAAGAATCCATGCAAGAATTAAAACATTATGCTGAATTAGTTCCAGGATTTATGAATTTATCAATAAATGATCGTGAAATCATGTTAAATTTACATTATTTAGATTTATTAAGTTTTCGTTTAGCTTGGAGGTAAGTTCACTTTATTTTAATTAATTTGATAATAATTCTTTTTATTTATGAAATTTCACAAGTTGAAATCATGAGCCAATTGAAGCTAGACCACCATGGAAAACCTGGAAGCACTGGACGGCCGTTTCGTCCTAGTATGGGACTCCTCAGCAGTGCGCATCCACGAACCCGCCCCCGCGGGATTCGAACCCAGGACATACTGGCTTCGCGTGCGAGCACTTAACCATTATGATAATAATAATAATAGTAATGGTATTATCAGAAGGGGTTCTGTGGAGATTTTAGAAATTTCACTGTTTGAAATCATCAGTCATTTGAAACTAGACGACCATGGAAAACCTGGACGCACTGGCCGCAACTTCGTGGATTGATTAAAGTTAGGCATTAACACCGTTGGATGCCGGCTCAGTGGTCTAATGGTTAAGTGCTCGCGCGCGAAGCCAGTATGTCCTGGGTTCGAATACCGCAGGGGGGCGGGTTCGGGGATGCGCACTGCTGAGGAGTCCCATACTAGGACGAAACGGTTGTCCAGTAATCGTATTTTAGTGAATGAGAACATATAATTGGGGATAATCTATCTATCTATCTATCTATCTATCTATCTATCTATCTATCTATCTATCTATCTATCTATCTATCTATCTATCTATCTATCTATCTATCTATCTATCTATCTATCTATCTATCTATCTATCTATCTATCTATCTATCTATCTATCTATCTATCTATCTATCTATCTATCTATCTATCTATCTATCTATCTATCTATCTATCTATCTATCTATCTATCTATCTATCTATCTATCTATCTATCTATCTATCTATCTATCTATCTATCTATCTATCTATCTATCTATCTATCTATCTATCTATCTATCTATCTATCTATCTATCTATCTATCTATCTATCTATCTATCTATCTATCTATCTATCTATCTATCTATCTATCTATCTATCTATCTATCTATCTATCTATCTATCTATCTATCTATCTATCTATCTATCTATCTATCTATCTATCTATCTATCTATCTATCTATCTATCTATCTATCTATCTATCTATCTATCTATCTATCTATCTATCTATCTATCTATCTATCTATCTATCTATCTATCTATCTATCTATCTATCTATCTATCTATCTATCTATCTATCTATCTATCTATCTATCTATCTATCTATCTATCTATCTATCTATCTATCTATCTATCTATCTATCTATCTATCTATCTATCTATCTATCTATCTATCTATCTATCTATCTATCTATCTATCTATCTATCTATCTATCTATCTATCTATCTATCTATCTATCTATCTATCTATCTATCTATCTATCTATCTATCTATCTATCTATCTATCTATCTATCTATCTATCTATCTATCTATCTATCTATCTATCTATCTATCTATCTATCTATCTATCTATCTATCTATCTATCTATCTATCTATCTATCTATCTATCTATCTATCTATCTATCTATCTATCTATCTATCTATCTATCTATCTATCTATCTATCTATCTATCTATCTATCTATCTATCTATCTATCTATCTATCTATCTATCTATCTATCTATCTATCTATCTATCTATCTATCTATCTATCTATCTATCTATCTATCTATCTATCTATCTATCTATCTATCTATCTATCTATCTATCTATCTATCTATCTATCTATCTATCTATCTATCTATCTATCTATCTATCTATCTATCTATCTATCTATCTATCTATCTATCTATCTATCTATCTATCTATCTATCTATCTATCTATCTATCTATCTATCTATCTATCTATCTATCTATCTATCTATCTATCTATCTATCTATCTATCTATCTATCTATCTATCTATCTATCTATCTATCTATCTATCTATCTATCTATCTATCTATCTATCTATCTATCTATCTATCTATCTATCTATCTATCTATCTATCTATCTATCTATCTATCTATCTATCTATCTATCTATCTATCTATGATCATATTTAATAACGTTTAAAAATCTTATTCAATGAGTATTATAAGGTCATGGATTTCTGATCCCATAATTAAGACTTGGTAAACAGTCGGTTAATTGGAAATTAAATTTTTACTCGACTTTGTAGCTGAAAGAGAAAGGTGTTTATTACAAAACTAAATATTTACCTATTTATAGTCTGAATGAATTGTATGGATATTTAATTGGGTTGTCAACACAATCAACACAAACCATTCTATATCAGAAGGGGTTTTATGGATATTATTAGTAATTTTAATAGTTAAGATCATACCATTTCAAGCTAGACCATTATGGAAAACCTGAAAGTACTGAACAGCTGTTTCGTCCTATTGTGGGACTCCTCATCAGTGCGCATCCACGATCTCACCTCGTCAGTTTCTAATCCAAGGCCTATCGGTCTCGCGCGCGAACACTTAGCCGGTTATTTCTGATGTATATATATATATATATATATATATATATATATATATATATATATATATATATATATATATATATATATAAGTCTCTGTATTTTAACTTAATAATAATAATAAGGTTAAGGGATGAGTCCTTACGTTAGTATAACTAAGTATGAAAAGAGTTAATATGCATTGCTGATTCGTATATTCTCAGTACAATATGTTCAATAGTCATTTTTAATGCCTTCATCCAATACTATCATAACAAACACATTTAACGAATAGAATCGAACATATTACTGAACTAATCTAATAACTTTTCATGATATAATATATAAACTGTCTAGTGTTATTATAGGACGTTACATAATATTAGAATATATACATATATCTTAATAGTTGAGATCATGAGTCAATTAAAGCTAAACGATTATAGAAAACCTTGAATCACTGGATGGCCGTTTCGTCCCATTGTGGGATTCCTCAACAGCTTCAACTGACTAATGATCTCAACTATGAAAATTACTATAATTTTCACAAAACCCCTTCTAATATATCTATATCTATATACTTTTTGAGTCTACAATATGCATATTATGTTCTAATTATAAGTATTTACAATCAAATTATACTGAATTAATCAGTTGACATCATATACTTAATCAATAATAGATGATACATTCGTTAATTATATATATATATGAAAGACCTGCACAAATAATACACCAAAAGTCGGATAAAATGAGAGAAAGAAAAAGAAAAGGAGAAATGAATTAAAAGTGCCAAGTTATTTCTTTCTTTGACAAGTTACAAGCAAACAACTAAACACAGGTAGACAGAGAAGGTTTATCCATCTATCCATCTATTTCTCTATATACCATAGAAAGAATACTAAATATAATATCCTAACATGTATACCAGTAGATGCTTATGCTTGCTCGTTTTTTCCCTCTGTTGTTCTCTTTTTTCTTTTCATTCACTAAAACATAAAAATGAGCTTGTCAAATAGCCGCTTATATACAATAACACATATGATTAGTTAGTTGTCTACCACCTTAGTTACATACATATTTACGTAAATATTTGGTTACATTTTGTTTTTAGATTCGTTCTTTTTTCTTTCTTCTTTTTTTCTCCCCCCCCCTCTCCCTCTTCTTCTTCTTCTTTGGATTGGTAACAATAACAAAACTGATAATATTCATAATAATCATAATTATTATTATTATTATTATTATGATAAAGATTAATGTTCACCAAAATTCATTATCTATTTTACATTGGTTACCTAAACTTATTGTTCACCTATAATGCCTATTTATCTATTCAACTAAGTAGATATACATAAGACAAGAAGAAGAAAAATGGAAAAAAAAAGAAACAAAGTAGAAGAAGGTATGATAAACTATTGCCTAAATACATTGAAATTATTTAACACTCAACTGATTCATTACAATCTATTCGTTTTCTTTTTCTCACTGATTTTTCTTTTTTTCTTTTTTCTTTTATGCATTTCTTTTATTTAAGCATAATACATGTAGCCATAGCCACATATATACATATCTATATATCTACAACTATGAAAATTCATTTACTTCAATCTCTTTTGTTTTTTCTTCCTTTTTTCTTCTTTTTCGTTTTTCACTGCATTTAATGCTTTTTCTTTTTTTTTCTTTTTTTTTGAAAAAAAAACGAAAGAAGAATATTCATAAGTGAATATCTACCAAGTTTTTGACAGTTGACTAATGGCCAAATTTTTCTCTGTATGATTACTTCTTTGACTTATAAGTGCGTGTGGATATGTGTTTGTGTGCTTATGCGAGAGAGAGAGAGTGTGTGTGTGCGTGTGTGTGAGAAAGTGAGAGTGAGAGAGAGGGAGAGAGAGAGTTATGACTATTATTCCCCTAATTCTATTTTTCATTTAGTCAAAAAAAAGAAATAAACCTTTTCTTTTTAGAAAGAAATGCAGCACCTTCGTTGATTATTTTCTTTTTTTTCTTTCTTTCTTTGTTTGTTTCTATGTATCCTGTCTTAGTAAGTTTGGTATTCTCTTATTCATCATTCAAATTGCAATGTATTGCCAACTAAGCTAATAGATTATATATATATATATATATATATATACATTTATGTTTAGTATTCAGATAATAATATAATAGTATTTGTTTGTATGTGTATATATATTCAGGTGCGTGTGTGTATGTGTGGCACCTTAGTTACGAAAGGTATAAAACATTATGGTTCTAATTCGAAACAGTGATAAATAAATTTTTCTTTCTTTCTTTCTCTTCACATATATCAAGAAAATATTTTAAAAAAATAAAAATGTTTGATCGGTTCCAAAAGGTAGATAAACAAAAACTAACATACATGTACATGTATCTATGTGGATAAGTATATACACGTATGTATGTGTGTATCTATGTATGTATGTATGTATGTATTGTACTGTATACAGATCGTTGAATGTCTTATTGTAGTATGCTGAAATTTGACAAACTCTGACAGGTTTATTGAAGAAGAATCCAATAGAATTTTGTATTGTTTATATAAGTAGATATATATGTAAGGAACAAAATGAAGTAATCTTCTCATAAAATAAAAACTATTTCTTTTTTAACACTGTCAATTCAATCTATTTGGGCTGTAATGTATTAAAAAACATTCATATTTATAGTTGAAAACGTTGCCTACATCATTTCATAAGAATAATTATTCATTTTGGATGGATGTAATACAAGACAGTTTCCGTTTCTCCGTGACCAGCGGAGCTAATCCATGCCGGGTAGAAACAGGTGTCTACCTCAGTACAATGGAAGATCGTCACGCAACTTCTTAGATAGGTTGAGGTTACACATTAACACCAATGGATGCTGGCTCAGTGGTCCAGTAGGATCAGCATTCGCGCACGAGACTGAAGGCCCTGGGTTCGAATCTCACGAACGGGATCGTGGATGCGTACTGCTGAGGAGTCCCACAATAGGATGAAACGACCGTTCAGTGCCTCCAGGTTTTCAACCGTGATCTAACATCAATCGGTTCACGATCTCAATCAAAAACTAATACAAGACAGTTTCCGTTTTTTCTAATTAAAATTTCTATTCAACACGATAATGAAAATAAGTACTTGTTAGAATGTAAATTTACTTTAAATTACCTTTCATAAGTAAAAATGAATGGTGATTAGTAGTGGAAATCAGTTTGATGAGTGTTTCGTCCTCTTTGAGACTCGTCAACTGGATGTGCCTGGTTGAATGAGGTTGCTTGAATGTCTCAGTTTGAAAATAGGTAAAATAGTGTGTTGAAAAACTTGACTGATTTATATTGTTGTAATTATTTCTAAATTGAAGAGGTTACATACATTTGTAATGGTTGATTGGATCATTTCATTATAATACTTATGACTTAATTGCAATATAGAAGTAATCTTGATGAGATGCACATATAACAAAAAAGAGATTGATCAATGAAGAGATTCAAGCAATCAATACATAATGAGTTCAAAATTTATCTCATTGTACAAGTTAGTGGTTAACTGTGATCAGTAGCTAAGTGGATAACGTGATGTAGTTTAAAGCTACGGTACTGGGTTTCAGTTTCGGAATGAACATCAAATTCAAGATTCAGGTGTATACATCTGATAAGTCTCTAATTGGACAAAACATCCAGGATTCCATTGTTAGCTACATCTATCTCCGAGGTGGCAAAACCAAAACGTGGCATCAAACCACAAAATCACTAACTTCTAGTCTTAGCCATGTTGGGAGATGCAGACTACTTGGTTGAGATCCGCGCGATTATCGTAACCAATGGTTGGAGGATCTTGGTGACATGGCTCAGAATCGATCACAATGGCGTTGGTGTATACACTCTCTAGCTTCCCTTAAACTATGAGATTAAAATCGATTCACATCTTTCTTTCTACCAACTAATTCTTTCTTCCTGTACTTTATCCTTATCGCAATCTTCCTTTTATGTATTACCACAACTGAATTAACTACTTTTATGAATCCGGTGTTCATCTTGTTGTGCTGATGCAGTATGGCAACTTGGACAGATGCATATATGTGTGCCTGGTCCTACGTTGTAGCTGACTGACTGACTATAATGAACAGATTACAACTTTGTCAATAACTGGGTTGAGAGTGAATAATAAATTCCTGAGAGATTACAATACAGTTAAGTAATCGTTAACTACTCATACAGAACATTTTAATTCATGTGTATTGGTTATTTGAAACTCTTCATTGATGTTTAGGATTGCAAAATTGATCAATCTTTTTTAGCATATGTGTATCCTGTGTGGATTTCCTCGAAATTGCCATTATGTTACAAGCATTTTAAGCAGAGTTTGATGATGACTAGGAGTGCAGTTGAAGACTTGCATTTTGTTTAACTTTGGACTAGTCAGATGTATCTCCATCAAAGCTAATGTTCACTCTGACACTTAAACCCATTACCGTATCTGCAAACGTCATCACGTTTTCCACTTAGCTACCAATTCCAGATAGCCATTGGTTGCTGTAATGAGATGAATTTTTAATTCATATGTACTGAATAAATGAATCTTACCGTTGATGTTTGGGACTTCACTTGTTGTTCTCAGCGATATTACAAGGGATATGAAGAACTTATGATCCTTCGTGATTATCAATAATTCATTAATTGATTTTATATAAAGGATCTAAGGAAATACTATTAGCTTAACTAGTTGAAAACAGATGAGAGAAGCCTTAAATCAAATCCTTGTGCTATTTAATACCCTTCAGAGAAGAGCATCTGAAATTATGAAGGGACTAATGGTCCTTGTAAGATTTAGACTAACTGTTGGCTGAAACTTAGTGATGATATGTAATTATGGTCTCATATGGGGATTACAAGTAAACATTTCTCTTCTTATAATATGGACATTATCACAAAACCAGTGAGTTAGGATTCGCTGTCATAAATTTATGGTTTTAGTCAGTTCAATGTTGTGTGATGGTCTTCCAATTCTACTAATATTACTACTACTACTACTACTACTACTACTACTACTACTACTACTACTACTACTACTACTACTACTACTACTACTACTACTACTACTACTACTACTACTACTACTACTACTACTACTACTACTACTACTACTACTACTACTACTACTACTACTACTACTACTACTACTACTACTACTACTACTACTACTACTACTACTACTACTACTACTATTACTCATTTCTGATTTTCCTGTTATTGCTATAAAGAAATGTCAATAAATTTATCTTATTTTGTACATCAAGTGTAAACGCTTCTTAGAATATCATTTAAATAAGAGAGAACTAGATAGTCACTTGTGTCTAATATGGGACTTTAATTCAGTGCGCATATATAGCCCCACTTGGCATCAAATTTATGACAATCCGGTTTTGCTACGAGCGTCTAACCTTTATCCAATGGATCCGATATTTGGTGGTCTGTATTTCTCACCTCAATCGATTTATGGTATTGTTCAACTATTTTCTGATGTCATTAAAAATAGAAAATTCAAAATCACTTTTCTTCGTCAATACGGTATATATATTAGTCAAGTATAAACATAAATTTAACTAATCATATTCATGTGTATACTGTACAGGTGACTGATCAGTAATATATACTTGTCAATATGGTGTGGTGTTAGCTACTAATGTCGACAGATATGAGTAGTATGTATCCTCAGTCGAAACTGAAATGCCTGGCAGTAGAAGGTTAAACAGATTAAAGAAAATAGACTGAGAACAAAGAATGATGAGTGTGGAAATGAAAGAACAATGAAGTCTGAGACAAGTGATGGGTATTTTACAAATGAAGAATTTACTGAATGGTTCTTAGATTTTACGATGAGATTCTGTAATTTTGTATTCAAATACATCCGGTTATCCCCACTGATGTTCTCGTTCACCACAACAGGATTTCGAATATTTAAGATTTTGTCAACAAGTTAATAGTTTGAGTAATCACGATGCGATATCGAATACAAATGTATATCATACATTTTTAAATATGAAACAGCGTTAAATCATATAGATACAAAGAGTTTCTTCATTATCACTAACATACACAGACTATTACACAAAATTATGTAGAATTGATATTCGACACATTGAATTGTATGGGTAATTATTTAGATAAGATGTATGTTTTTAATGATATTTTCACTTAAATTATCTCTTAGCAGTGACCAGTGGAGTTCAACTGGATCTGTTGTGAGATTGTAACTCACTGAAGACAATGATGGATTTTTCGCTCAGTTTCGTGGATTAGTTGAAGTTAGACATTAACACCGGTGGATGCCGTTTCACGAAACTTATAGGTCCTGTGTTCGAATCTCGTGACACGGGATCGTGGATTCGCACCGTTGAGGAGTTCTACAGGAGAATGAAAAAAACCGATCAGTACTTCCAGGTTTTCCATCGTGATCTAGCTTCATTTGGCTCATGATTTCAACTATTAAAACTAATATAATATCCACAAAACCCCTTTGGATATAAATATTTAAATCATAACAAATATTGATTTTTCATTTCAGATTGATTTATTTACTCATTTATTTATTTTGTTTATTAGATGTGCCATGGAAACAGAAGTCACTACACATCCAAACTATACACCAACATCATTTATAGAAAATCATTCCGATAACTGTATAAAATTAAATCAAACTATACATGAAAATTCTTTCATAGAAAAACCGTTTGAAATCTCTTCATCCATAAGAATGACACCGACAACACCTTCAGCAACAACAACAACTACAACAACAGCAACAGGGACAACTATAAATAATTGGAATCAACAAATGCATCATTCGAGAATGGATAAATCGCATTTTATTGATTATTATAAAACAAACTACTTATTAAATAATAGTAGTCATAATAATAATCATAAAAATAAAGAAATTTTATTTATTTTCGAAAATGGTAAATCAATGTCATATAGAGAATTATTAAAATCTGGTTTTGGTAATTGGGCTAATCAAATTAAACAATTTAGTACACAATTAAAACTATTAATACAAGATGATTATAATGCAATTTGGGGTTTAGCTGCATTAATTTTAGTGAATTATAAATCAATCAATTGTAAGTTCTTTTCTTTTTTTGTTTTTGTCTTGCAAATGTTTATTGTTGACTTTTCCATGACTAAATATTTACTCTAAGATATTTCATACAATAGAATGAATGAAAAGTATGAAAATGTATGTTTTTATTCTTTTATTTATTTAGACACATAAACATTGGTACAACGAGACGCCAAATACACATGCGCCACAAAGATCATTCGATTTATATGAGGTCAGGGTCTACTGACCGGGTGCCCAGACCGAAGCAGGTGGTTATCTTAGGGAGCCACACCCCGAGCCTTTGACCTGAAGGTCTGATCCACAAGGCAGTGGAGCATCGTAAGGAGATGCAGTCCCATGGAAGCCGGTGACCAATGATTGGTTCATACGCCAATTGTTCCCACAGGATACTGGAGCCCGGGTGCACTATTGATTTGGGATCCGGTTAAAGCACCGGACATTCGCTATTCGTCCTCTAAAGTTCGTAAACAACAGTAGTGCCACGAGAAGGCAGTGAGTAGGACTTCCCTAGCAGAGGCTATATACGCGTGGCCGTGTGAGAGCGTTTCGAGAGGCAGAGCGGACTCTCCCCACTCTCGACCAGACCAGAACATTGGGGGTCAAAATGGATGGTTACTTGCATTTCGATAAATTTCGGGAATGAAATATGAAATAAATATTCAGTCAGTCAGTCAGCTACAGCGTTGAACCAGATCCATATACTGTACAAAACTCCTTAATATGACCCATCGAAGAAACTAAACAAGTTTGAAGCAAAGATTTTTAAACCTTGTAATAATCATGATACATTTAACCTACTACTGTTAAATATGTTACAATTGAATCACTTGAACGAATCCAATTAATATATATCCATTGGCGATAATATGATACAGTGGTTTAGGGTTGTTAATTTCCAATCATAATAACTGATGTGTTCTTGATAATGCATTGATGAAATGAGTATGAAGTTAAATGAAATCAGCTAAAATGTACCATTTGTTTTCTATTCAGTTAGTCATTCGGTTACAATGTAGGATCAGGCATATATATGAATCGATACAATTTGCCATACCTCGCTAGCACAACAAGATGAACACCGGATTCATAGAAGTTGTTAATTCATTGGTGGTAATATATAGAAGAGAGATTGCATATAAGGATTTAGTACAGGAAGAAAGAATTAGTTCGTAGAAAGAAAGATATGAAGCGATTTTAATCTCATAGTTTAAGGGAAGATAGAGAATGTATACACCTACACCATTATGATCGATTCTGAGCCATATCACCCAGAGTCTACAACTATTGAGTACGACAGTCTAGAGGACCCCAACCAAGTAGTCTACATTTACCAACATGGCTCGGACTAGAAGTTAGTGATTTTGTGGACTAATGCCACGTTATTGGTTTAGCTACCCCTAAAATTGTTTCAACCGTCTCCAACACTAGTCAGCATTGCTGAAATTAATATTAAACTATGAGGTTTTCTTAGTAATAAAATATAAATTGTGATAGGTAAGATTGATCTGTTTCAATTATTGACTATTTGATGTTGTCTTTATTCAAGTCATGTAAACTTGTCCAAACCTACTGATATGAAGTTAACAGTCTATATGACTTAAAGGTGAAGTATTATTACATTATTATTATTATTATTATCGTCAATAATGATAGTGTTAGCTTACTCACTTGAATAAATTCAAGACACACATGAACAACAAAAGTTTTAGTACTACTGAAGATTAGTTAAGGCCAAATTCGTTTGGTGGTGATATTTCAAACTATAAAGTCAGATAATGCGGATTAGATTCATACCTAGATCATCCGTTTAATCAAGATAGTAGATATGTCTTACTGATGAATGCCAACTAATATGAAATCTAAGTTCATGTTGTCCCATCTATTGACTCTAAATGCTTCACATAAAAAAAATTATCTTTTCATTATGTTATACGGTTTCTTATCAGTTACAAACAGTCTGAAGGTACAGAGAATAATGAAATGAACATGAACAAAGGTTTTAGATACTTCCTTCAATGAAGTTTACATGAAAGTTCGTAAAAAAACCGAAACTCTTATAGGAAAGAAGATGATCTTAGATCCAAGTTTATCATTATACGTACTTCCTAACACTTTTACAACTGGATATGTAGAGAAATAAGTCTAATAACTCATAATAAGCTTTATGCTAAACACTGAATCATATTGTACACAATGCATATATCTATATATACTATATGTGAGCAATGACTTTGGTATGGTGAACGATTCAATTACTCACTTACTATGTGATTCTGAAACGGAATATGAACCGCCTAAAGTTTCCAGGTTTATCACTTCTCTATTAATAAACGTCTCCTGTTTACCTTCATCTACATCAATTTATTGATAGACGTATTAATAACAAAACAATAAGTAGTAGTCACCTTTCTGATGACTGAGTACTGAGGGATGACGTAGTAACTCATTAACGCTATCTAGTTTATCATGGAAAATCAATCATTTGAAAAGCTTTCAAATGAAAGCCTCTAATCATCCAACACAATCGCATTATTCCATGAATGTGTTTACATTCTTTCCGAATAAGCGAACAATACTATTGTAGTGAACAAGTAACAAGTGAGGACAATCAATTGTATTTGAACATAAAATTACATAATGTCTTAGTAAACTCTGAAGATCATATAGTAAATAGTTCATGAGTCAATCGTCTCAAACTTCCTTGTTCTTTCGTTTCCACATTAATCATTATGTGTTCTTGTTCTATCCTTCTCAATCTTCTCGACCTCCTGCTGTCAGACATTCTAATCCTGATTATCGTTACATACTACTCATGTTGATATAAGTAGTGTGGTGCGTGCTACTTATATTGATATAAGTAGTATATAACGCGAGTTAAAGAACGTAATGTCTGGCATCAGAAGATGGGAGAAGATCAAGAAAGGAAGAGCGAGAACACAATGGAACTTGTAAGAAACCGCATGAATAATGAAACGTGAGGCAGTGGATTGATGTTTGCAACGGCAACAGTCCGGTTTGATAATGATGGAATGATATTTTGCAAATTAACTATTTCGTATTTGGTTTATCTATTTCATCAAGTAACTCTGTAAATTAATGCTAGGCATATTCGGTTGTCCCCAAGCGTGTTCTGTTCACTACAGTAGTACATACCACACTATATTAATAGTAGCTTTAAGATTAATGAAACAATTGAAGTAGTATAAATATTGTGTTCCTTTTGTTGATAAGTATTTAACTATGCAGTTCAAAAGCAGTATCTTCCTTTTATAAACTCTTGCATATCATGTGAATACTGACAGTTTGCACACATATGTAAATTGGTTTATGATGGAGTTTTGTTCTCTGAGCTGGATGGTTTGGTCGTGGAGCTTTCATCGTTCTTCTGAACGATATCATCCACACAACCTTCAGATTTCACTTCTATTTGATGTTTGTGCTGATAATGTCTTTCGGAAGAACGATGAAAGCTCCACGACCAAACCGTCCAGATCAGAGAACAAAACTCCATCAAAATCATCCACCTGAGCTACAAATTGTCTTCACCATCTCAAAATCATATGAGTGTAATACGCTTTTCGTTGTTCAAAAATGGGGGAATTTCGCCAAAAGACAGGCTTCCACTCAAGAACAACTATATTTTCTCCATGAAACTGGTTTATATCAGGTTTCAGTTTCACTATCAGTGATTGATTCTAAATCATGTTTTAACAGGAATGTTTAAAATGAACAGAAAAATGAAGACAGTAGTTCTTGTAATTCGGGAACTTTTCATCAGATTATATTCGTTTATGTATAACAGAATGATAAAAACATCATCGATTTTGATATCGTAACGTGTTTCAGAAGCTGCTATCACTAAAATTCATTGATTTCTAGATGTCTTGGTCATTGATGGTAAAACTGATATTCTTTTAGAGATATTAACATGACAATTAATAATGCTATTATTGAATGATTTGGGTTGTAACTATTCGTATTTACTTTTACTTACGAGTTTGACCCTCAGTGAAGCATAAGCCACCGACCAGCATTCTCCAACACAATCTATCCTGGGCCTTCTTTTCTAGTTCCATTCAATTTTTGTTCATTTTTCTCATGTATGTTTCCATTTCCCGGCGTAATGTGTTCTTTGATCTTCCTCTTCTCCTTTGGTCTTCAGTATTCCATGAGAGGACTCGCCTTGTGACGTAGTTGCATGCATTCTTCAATATGTGTCCCATCAACTTCCAGCACTTCTTCCTCCGCTTATTGCTATTAAGATTAAGATTAATAAAATTAGACTAACATTCCTAATGAAAAAGGAAACATGCTTTTGTTACTGAATGCTAATTAATTATGTTTATCAACAGAGTTCTACAGACGACTACAACAGGTTATACTAATTTCATTAGGGATGTTACTTTTCCTAATGTTTCCTAGACCCACTCAGCCTGTTTTTCAAAGTCACTGATTGACCATAATCCAACGTATTCGATATAATTCATAGTTTAAAATAAACCTTTAAATCTAAACAAAAAGATGCCTAATGTCAAATGAACAAGTATTTTCGGCGAGACTCTAATTTATGGACCACCTTTGAACAAATCTTAGACGACCTTGAGCCAATCAGTAAACAGTCAGTATAGAGTAAAAAATATGTTATACAAAACCAAGGAAATAAAGTGGATACACTTCTTATACGTGGTTCAAAAACTTGTCAAGGTTAGAAAGAGGTTCAGAGGTTCTAAAATCGTAACGCATGTAGTAGAGAAAATCATCCATATGGCTACAGAATAGTTGGCCTCTGGATCCATGATAAAGTCTCAAAAACTCTTTCAGCCTCGACCACATAGCTTCAATATTGTTTATGTGCACTCCAGTTGTTGAGTGCACAAAATGCTACTTGTGGATAACGACATGATGCACATAACCAAGCCTATGTATGAGTCTGTGCGCTCTCCAATCATCCGTATATATTGTAGTACCTGGCTGCAGCCAGTGTTACTAGTGCTTTTATTATCCAGTTCACAATAATTGTCATAATTTGCCCTAGTTAGGAATTATATATATGGGGTCTTTAGCACGAACTGACATCAGCTATAATGCCAGAAATCTATTTAGCCAAATGGATGAAAGGCTTTCGCGTTAAAATCCGAGATCTGTTATCTTATACCTGACTGTTTCGTCCACAAATTATAGTCCCGCCGTTTTATTCGTTATAGGCGCTCAATTATCACGTTTTGTACAAAATTCCCTGTGAACTGATCGTACGTTAGCATTAAGCACTGAAGTTGGCGCCGTCACCTTGAAATCTCTAAAACGTCTCTGATTGGCTCGTCCATAAATTAGAGTCTCGCCGTATTTTCAATTTGTATTAGTTGTATCAATGTATATATATAACAAAATTATTAAACGATTCTTTTGTAGTGGCTTTACTCCATTAATCAATCACCTCAGTAACTGTTATATCATAAATCTCAATGGTGTTTTAGGATAGCACAGATCACAAAGCTCTAAGCACATAGAACGAACTTTGAAGCAAATAGGCGAATGTGTGTGTGTGTGTGTGAGTAATTACATAAACAAATGTATAATCAAATTGCATAAGGACACATGCAAAGCAAATCAAGGACTAATAAAACGATCTCAGCACATATATACATAATGGATAGGACATACATTACGGAAATCATCAAACTGCATCACGAGGCAAGCCCTAACATGGAGTCCTGAAGGGAAGCGGAAAAGAGGAAGGCCAAAGAACACATTACGTTGGAAAATAGAAGCAGATGTGAAGAGGTTGAATAAAAATTGGAAGGAGCTGGAAAGGACTGCCCATGACAGGGTTAGATGGAGAATGCTGGTGAGCGGCCTATGCTCCTTCACGAGGAGTAACAGGCGTAAGTAAGTAAGTACATATATACATAAGGAGAAGGATGAATCATCAACATTTTAGCTAGAGTCTACCATGTGCTCTAGTGATCATAATAGTAGAAAGATAGACTAATTGTGACTATTCAAACAACATTATCTATTAAGTAAGTGAATCAATTGTAGGATGGTTGCTATACGTTAAAAGTACGTTGATTGTTTTTCATCTTTTTTCTTCTTTATTTCTGTTTTCAGATCTCACTCCATTGTCAAATTCTAGTGAAGTTTATTCATTACATCATAGATTTGTTGAAATGTTAAAAAGTCATTGTTGTTCATCAACTCAACATATAAATTTAACATCAAATACACAAACATCATTCATTTATGATTCGACTTCTACCACTAATAATAATACTACTAACAATATTATAAGTAGTAATAATAATTCATCTAAAAAATCTAATAAACTCAATACAAATGATCATCTAATATCCACTTCATTATTACGTAATGATTCAACATATTTTTCTAAAGTATTTCAACAAAAAGAAATGATACATGGAATGACACGAGAATATTTAATTCAACCATTACAACACTTATATGATCATGATCCAAATACATATTCATGGTTAAAAGATATTTTAGAAATAATCAAATTATCCGACTAGATGTAAACACGATCAAGATCCATTTGGTCGGATCAATAATGATCCTATTCATAAGGAGATAATAATAAATAACTAATGGTATGGAAAGTAAAACAAACAAACAAAAATTCACAATTATCTTCTATCATGATGATTATTGAATTACTACAGGTAAAATAAACTCAGTTTTCGCTCCTCCGCCACCCCCCCTCACGATCTACCCCCTCCCCAAATTTTTTTCTCATTTTTTTTATTAAATAAATCCATATTCGTTTTTTTTCTTCCTCAAATATTTCCCACTTATCCCATTTTGGTATCATTAAAGTTCTATCAAGAAATGAACAGTCTAATAGGATGATAAATGATGTATTATAATGAGGTTAAATCAAATAGATAATTATATATATATATATATATATATATACATAGAGAGAGAGAGAGAAAGAGAGAAAGAGACACAATTTACTATTCTGCTTTACATTATATATTGTATTCATGAATTAAAACAAGAAACAAAAACAATAAAGACAAACAAAATTAATGCAGCTTACGATTTAATCATCTTTTTTTAATGGATTCAATATATACTACTTATAATTCGTGATTAAGAATAGAAAACGACAATGTTTTTGTTGTCGTTGTTGTTGATGATTATTACGTAACACTATTGCTATTATTACTATTATTATTACTTTTACTATGGTTACTATTATTATTATTATTATTATTATTATCGATTAAGTAATCAGTCAATAAAATGTAATCATTCAAAAGACAATCATCTGATTAAGTGATTTGTTAAATAATTTAATTTTAAGAAAATCTTTATTACTACTGATAAAACTACTCAATATTACTACTACTACTACTACTACTACTACTACTACTACTACTACTACTACTACTACTTCTATTACTATTACTATTACTATTACTACGATTGTTTTGTTTTTTCTAATTACTATGAATAATATTATATATGTATGAAAATGGCTAAATAAAAACAAAAAAATCAAACCCATAAAGATATATACATGTGTATAAACAAGTTACTATGTGGGGGGTGTTTTTTTTGTTGCCGCTGCGATTTTCAGTGATAACAATGATTAACATTATGTTATTAATTAATTTATTACTTTAAAAAAAAGAAAATATAAAGAAATTGAGTGTAAAAGAATCTTCTTTTTTTGTTTGAAGATTGTTTTTTTTCGGGGGTGGGGGGTGTTATTACTTGTGGCCTGTGTGCCCTGTTAATGTATAATGTGATGATACTGTGAGTTAGAGAGCAGTGGATTATCGATCGAACCAATGACATATAAAACAAGTACCTGTAGTCTAGAGTACTTATCGATCCTGCTTCCTGCCTAGTCCTGCCTGTTAAGTCCAGAACACAAATCCCAGACTCTGCCATAACATACTGGGTTTATGTACCAACCAGACAAACTACATCTTACCATAAAATAGGAAACAACATTTGTACGAGAATTAGCCAAATATGTCTGTGAATGTAATAGATAGTAATTGATAGACCGGGTATAACTCTCGAACGGTAAATCGTATAATAATACCTCATAGGTCAAACTAAAGCTCATAATAAGAGGGACATGAATATGAATAGTTTAGTTATTTAACAATTATACAATAAAAATATATGTATAGTGTTGGTCCGTAAATGGATCCCAAAAGTTACCATTCATTATACCTATCAGGACATAACAGAGAGGTGGGGTAACAGTTTTACACATCAAAATTATAAGTTGATTTGCATATTGACAGAATTGTTGTGTAAATCAGGTACATAATTGCCCTATTTCTGACGATAAATATTCATTCCAATAGTTGAGACTATAAGTCAATTGAAGCCAGACCACTGGAAGGCCGTTTCGTCTTATTGCAGGACTCTTCACTAGTGGGCATCCACGACCCCACCTCGCGAGATTCGAGCACAGTACCTATCAGTTCCGCGCACGAACGCTTAACCTCTTGACCACTTAGCAGGCCGGCATTCACCGGTGTTAATGTGTAACTTCAACTAATCCACGAAATTGGGTGATACATCCACCATTATCATCAATGAGTTACTATCTCACCACTGACCCGGATGAATTCCACTGGTGATTGCCTCCCACTAAAAATCCAGGATATACATCTTGAAGCCAGTCACTAGTGAGCATATGTTGATTAGTATCAGAAGGGGTTTTGTGGGAGTTGTAGTAAATTCAATGGTTGAGACCATGAACCAACTGAAACTAGACCACGATGGGAAATCTGGAAGCACTGGATGGCCGTTTCGTCCAGGTATCCGGGACCCCACCTCGCGGGATTCAAACCCAGTACCTATTAGTTCAATTGACCTATGATATCAACTATTGAAATAACTACAATCACCACAAAACCCCTTCTGAGATTAATATTAAATTCAACTTTAAGTCTATATATTAAATGTATGCAAACCATAAGTTTAGTTATAAACAAGGCAGAAAAAAGGAATAAAGTGAAAAAATTTCATTTAAATTACTTTTTCATCATGGTTCTACACTTATATGTTATTACATATAATAAATCAGAGCAATTAGTTAAGAAAAAAGAAGGCAAATCAATCACTGAGATTCGAGAACAAAGAAACAAGTGAGTAGAACACTTTGAAGAACTCTTGAATAAATCAACACTACTGAACTCACCAGACATGGATGCAGCATATAAAGACCTACCAGTTGACGTTACCTCGACAACAATCGAAGAAATCAACATGACCATCAGACAAATCAGGAGTGGAAAATCAGTAGGACCAGACAACGTACCGGCTGAAGCACTGAAGTCAACCAAATAGATAACTATAAACACGCTCCACATCTTAGTCAGAAAGATTTCGAAAGATGAAGAAGTGCCGACAGACTCGAAAGAAGGATAACCTCTAAAGATACCAAAGAAAGATCTCAGAAATTACGAGAACTACAGAGACATCACACTAGTATCAGTGCCAGGAAACGTTTTCGACAACGTTGTTGAACCGAATGAAGGATTCTGCAGACGCCCAACTCTGAAACCAATAGGCTGGATTTTATAAGCATAGATCGTGTAACGACTTAAACTTAATTATCTACCTAATGTCAGTTGATAAATAAAATGATCTTCATTATTTCATTCTTATCTGATGAAGATTGGGATTACTTTTGAGAGTTGAACAACCAACGGTAATCCCTAGTGCTGAACGAATGATCACTTTCGAAAATAATCAAAAATTCTTATCATGTCATGGTATATCCGAGGGTGAAGAGAATCATCTCTCCCTCTCAAAATGCTCTCACATGGTCACTCATATACAGCCACTACCAGGAACGTCCTACTCACTTCCTTTTCACGACAGGGGTGTTATTTATGAAATTGAGAGGACTAAAAGCGAATGTCTGGCACTTTAACCTGGTTGGTGTATATGGAAAATCCACCTAGGGAAGTTGCTGTCATGTCATTTCAATTTCAAAATGTCTAATTCCAATGTGGTATAAGTTTATTTTTATCAGCGAATTATTCACCTCTGGGTTTATCTTAAACGATAATTCTCAAATGTCTAATATTCATTTCCGAATTGATACTGTGGTGAACGAAGATTAAATGGGGAAAACCAATTCACTGTTTTAAGTAAAATTACGCAGTGCCATTGTAAATTATGAAAATCATACATTAAATACATCATCTTCATTTAGTTATCCTTTACGTATTCCATCATTCTTCTAATCCTGTTGTTATTTCAACTGCTCACTGTTTCCCTTTTTCTTCCTTTCATTTCAATCATCTTTTCGTAAACATGCTACTTTCAATTCCTACTACACACTACATATGTCTATCTGCATAGGCAGCTCACATAACACTACTGTAGGATACAACAATATGATATCATAAACTGAAATAAGAAGTAAAGTTGTATTCGATTGATTTACATTTGACAATACTGATTAAAGAAAAATAATGTATGAATCAGTTAAGACCTGTATATTCTAATTAACTGAAGAAGATCTAAATGGAGGCAAAATCTGTTGTAAAGGGTTCAGTTTCCTTGTTGCCAGTAATAAGGATTGATAATGATCAGTCTCTTACAATACGTGACTCAAGTTTGATCAGGTTTATTATGTACATGGCAAAGGAATTAAGTAGACGCTTGGATTCGGCCAACTAGATGGACCTAGATCATATTATTCCTTCTCATACTCAGGGAGTTTGCTCAGCAAGAACTCTAAATCCTACATGTATAACTTCATAACTGTTGTATAAATAATTGGCTAACTGAACTTAGCAGTTTAGTAGTTAACGTGATGGCTTTTATGTAACGACAGCTGTTGTGTTAGCCTCTGTACGAAGATCAACAAACAAATATAACTGACGTATCCTAAATAGAAGTAAGCGTACATTCAGAATTCAAGTGCTAGACAAAATCCGAAAGAAATTTAATTTGTGATGTTTAGGACTGCATTGGATCAGTCTCTTATTAGCATATGTGCATACTGTGTGTATTGCCTCGATATAACCTTAATTCACAAGCAATATAAGCAAAGATGGATAGTGGCTAGCAGTGGAATCCAAGACTCGTGTTTCGTCCTATTTGAAACTTGTCATCTGGATTAATGGGAAGATTCAAGTAAATAATACCAAGTGAATTTAAACTTCATCCCATTGCACAAGCAAGTGGCTATCAAGACTCAGTAACTAAATGGATAATGCGATGGCGTTTGAAGTGAAAGGTATTGTGTTCATGTCTCAGAGTGAACATTAACTTTGAGATGAAGGTGTATCCAGCTGACGAGTCCCAAATAGAACGAAACGCGTATCAAATTGGACTCTACTGTTAACCACTATTTATCTTTGCTTATATTGCTTGTGAATTAAGGTTATATCGAGGCTTAAGAAGAGGTCATACAAGTCTGAGATCCCGTTTGTTATAATTCATACGACTGAAGACTACTGAATAATGAAGCGTATCTAAAGAGATAAAGATACATTTTGTTAATCAACAAATATATAAAATGAATTTAGTTTATACATGCTGTAGCAACTATCCTACGATAATGGTTGATTTTGGTTAAGCCCTTCGTATTTACTTACTTAGCAGAGAATGTTATTTGAATTTCTTTGTACTAAACAAGTGCGCTTGATCGAATGACAGATTCTAGCTAAAATGTTGATAGCTTAAATATCACTCGATGACTCATTCTCTTCCACATGTACATATGTACGCGAATCCTATTATTAGTCTTTGCTTTGACTTGCATATACTTATTCGCCTGTCGGCTTGATAGACGCTCGATGTGCTTATAACTTTTTGATCTGCGTCGCACACACATATTCGCCTTTCTGCTTTAAATTCACTCGATATCTGTATGATCTGTACTATCCACTGATAAACTGTAGTTGCCTTCAGATTATAAACACCGTTGAGATTTAAATAATAACGGCTACAAGGGTGATTGATTAACGAAGCAAAGCCACTACAATACCATCTTGACTCAAAACAAGTACATGAATAAACTAATAATCTTTCAAAAAGATCATTGGTTGTCAAGTTTATTTTAACAGAGTAGTAAAAAACAATTTCTCAAGGTTATACCAAAATGTTTGGCTGGAAACGTTTTGGCAACTGATCTCAAAAAATGTACAGTTGGACAAAATTAATATTTTGAAAAGAACCTACAGTATAAATGTATGTAGTTCCTCTTGGCATTAAATATAAACCTGATTCTCGAACCGATGTTTTTTTGAACAAAAAGAAGCAACTACTTTAAATTTTTATAACTCGAGATTGTAGAATCTGTGGAGTTTGTAGAAATGTGGTATCATTTATTTGCCTACTTGTAAGTAGTTTATCTATCTCTACAGAAAAGTTAGGGTTCAAGTTTTTGACCTGGTTAGTACATTACAATATGAATATCATATTCTATAAAACCTTTGAGAAGATTTTCTCTATACTGTCAACATAACCTTTGAAAAATAGGCTTTATAGTTACGTTTTTGCTCAATGGATAGATAACTGACTGGTAAAATTCATAATTAAAGATTGTTGGTATGTTAATTGATATGTAATTATGTATATATTTTGCACTGAATACTGAACAAACCAGCTTCCAGCTGAAGAGGAAAGTAGGAAAAGACGATGGAAATGGATAGGACATACATTACGGAAATCATCAAACTGCATCGAGAGACAAGTGCTAACTTGGAATCCTGAAGGGAAGAAGTAAAGTGGAAGGTCAAAAAACAATACGTTGCGAAATAGAAGCAGATATGAAAAGCATGAATAATAACTGGAAAGAGCTTGAAAGGATCTCCCAAGACAGGGTTGGATGGAGATTGCTGGTGAGCGACTTATGCTCCTCGGTGAGGAGTAACTGGTGTAAGTAAGTAACTGTTATATAAACAAACTTAATTGCTCATCATCTGTTTGATCGCTTGATATACATGTAGCTTCATATTTCAGTTGAATCCTTTGACATCCATTTTATCAAAATTCATCGTTATCAACTACTTCCTACTTTTAAAATCATATGTCATGTAATTACTTGTACTCAATGTTTACTTCTCACGTATTAATTTTTACAATTATCTTCTCAAGAATAGTTTGTGACTGTCAAACTTATTGGTCAGTCTCTCATTTTTCTTCACTTGGTAATTTCATTTGAATAATCTTTTCAGCTGGTCTAAGTTAGCATTTCTTTAGATCGACGTTATGTAATGATTAAACAATATCTCGGCTTATCAGTATGGAGTTGTAGAGATTATTAAGTTTTTGATTAAGATCATGAATCGAGTGATTTCGGACCACCATTGGAATTCTGGAAGCACTGGACAGCCTTTTCGTTCCTTTGTGGGACTTCTCAACAGTATTTATTTACGTTCCTCCCCGCGAGATTCGAACCTAGGGCCTCCGGTCTCGCACGCGAATGCTTAACCTCTATACCAGTGAGCTGATGGGTATCGAACAGTGTTAATGTCTAACCTCAACCAATTCACGAGATTGAGTGGCCAGTTTCCACTGTACTGAGGTCAATACCTGTCTCTAAGTCTAGTCACAAGTAAATCAACGCATGTGATTTATTATTCTTCATGTTCAGGCATAAGTACTGCATCTTCCAACTACTCCAGTCATCGAGAATTTTCAATCACACGTGAAGATATACTCGCTTAACTAAATACTCTATAGAGAACATCATCACTTCCTACCCAAAAGCTATATATAATCTGAGTCAATAAATCAGAAATTTTATTAGGTTTAAATCTTTATCAGTCTACTTGACCCATTCAGTAAGTTGAATCATTGTACCTAAACTATAAAAAGAAACTATGATCATCCCTATTGTGAAATTACACAGTTTAGAGCTATGAATTGTAGTAAAAACATAAGTTTTTCCTCGGGAGGTTTAATAAGTTGTTTAGCTTCGTTAAATCAAATGACCCTTTCAAAAACATATAACTAGGATATAATCTCACGTTACTCGAAATTGGATACATTTAATCTAGTTATAATACCATAGGAAAATATTTCACCGAATGAGTCGTCCTACTTGTAAGTAGTTTGATTTGAAATCAAACACTATTTAGAGTTATGGAACGTTATTTATGATAAATAGATTTTTCAAACATTTACAATGGACCTCTTATCATACAATCACTGTTATTTCTTATTCCTAACTTTTAAGCAGAGAGATAATTTTATGCCTTATCTTCTTGGTCAAACTCAAAAGGGAACATCGGTTCCCTAAAGATGACGTGTGCGCCTTACCGAACTGTGTCTAATGGTGCGAAATATAAGTCCGAGGATTCTTATTGAACACTTTGAACTGCCTAGAATATCAGTATAGTACATGTTCTATTCAATGACTTAGACTAATGTTCACATTGAAACCTAATAAATAGGACTCTGGTAGTAATTGAAAGGAATAGACAAAGATGAGAATAGGTAACATGAGTATCAACATTAAATACAACGGATCATCGTAAATTCATCAATGAAACATAACTAACTATCTTTTAACTCAATCTAACCCTTACTATGTTTGGGATGTTAGATATCCAGAACTCTCGTGGTAAATACCGTTTTTCTGCAATTTTGTTTTTGCGCCAAAAGTGCTCATGTTCACCTTCATTTTTGTATTTCCCATTCGGGAGAATCTTAAACTCTATTGATTCGTTGTATCTTTTAGTATGCTGTTTTGTAACACTTCCCAAGGACAATTTTATGCTGTATATATACGTTTGATTTATACCTGTTGTTATTATTCGTGCTTCTGGTTGCTTGTGAAATATATTTCTCCGTTTCCAACCTTGGACTTCTCTGTCTAGTTAACGGGTCTGGGACGCATCAGAATAGTTAGTTTATTAGTCTTTGGTCACAGAGTCTTTGTTCAGTTCTCAGACTAGTTGAACTCGTAAACGCTTCAAACATGGCGTAATAAGAAACAACTGGAACAGAAAAAACTGTAGTAAACAAGAACACGATTGAGTTACAATTGAATGTACTTGAGCAGAAGTATACAGAACAACTCACCAAAATTTGAGAACCATATAGTAAGTAATGATGGATAGTGGTTAGCACTGGAATCCAGGAGGCGCATTTCATCCTATTTGGGACCCGTCAGCTGGATGTACCTGCATCTCAGAGTTGATGTTGCTGTTGTTGTTGTTGTTGTTGTTGTTGATGATGATGATGATGATGATGATGATGATGATGATGATGATGATGATGATGATGATGATGATGATGATGATGATGATGATGATGATGATGATGATGATGATGATGATGATGATGATGATGATGATGATGATGATGATGATGATGATGATGATGATGATGATGATGATGATGATGATGATGATGATGATGATGATGATGATGATGATGATGATGATGATGATGATGATGATGATGATGATGATGATGATGATGATGATGATGATGATGATGATGATGATGATGATGATGATGATGATGATGATGATGATGATGATGATGATGATGATGATGATGATGATGATGATGATGATGATGATGATGATGATGATGATGATGATGATGATGATGATGATGATGATGATGATGATGATGATGATGATGATGATGATGATGATGATGATGATGATGATGATGATGATGATGATGATGATGATGATGATGATGATGATGATGATGATGATGATGATGATGATGATGATGATGATGATGATGATGATGATGATGATGATGATGATGATGATGATGATGATGATGATGATGATGATGATGATGATGATGATGATGATGATGATGATGATGATGATGATGATGATGATGATGATGATGATGATGATGATGATGATGATGATGATGATGATGATGATGATGATGATGATGATGATGATGATGATGATGATGATGATGATGATGATGATGATGATGATGATGATGATGATGATGATGATGATGATGATGATGATGATGATGATGATGATGATGATGATGATGATGATGATGATGATGATGATGATGATGATGATGATGATGATGATGATGATGATGATGATGATGATGATGATGATGATGATGATGATGATGATGATGATGATGATGATGATGATGATGATGATGATGATGATGATGATGATGATGATGATGATGATGATGATGATGATGATGATGATGATGATGATGATGATGATGATGATGATGATGATGATGATGATGATGATGATGATGATGATGATGATGATGATGATGATGATGATGATGATGATGATGATGATGATGATGATGATGATGATGATGATGATGATGATGATGATGATGATGATGATGATGATGATGATGATGATGATGATGATGATGATGATGATGATGATGATGATGATGATGATGATGATGATGATGATGATGATGATGATGATGATGATGATGATGATGATGATGATGATGATGATGATGATGATGATGATGATGATGATGATGATGATGATGATGATGATGATGATGATGATGATGATGATGATGATGATGATGATGATGATGATGATGATGATGATGATGATGATGATGATGATGATGATGATGATGATGATGATGATGATGATGATGATGATGATGATGATGATGATGATGATGATGATGATGATGATGATGATGATGATGATGATGATGATGATGATGATGATGATGATGATGATGATGATGATGATGATGATGATGATGATGATGATGATGATGATGATGATGATGATGATGATGATGATGATGATGATGATGATGATGATGATGATGATGATGATGATGATGATGATGATGATGATGATGATGATGATGATGATGATGATGATGATGATGATGATGATGATGATGATGATGATGATGATGATGATGATGATGATGATGATGATGATGATGATGATGATGATGATGATGATGATGATGATGATGATGCTAGCCACTATCCATCATTGCTTACAAAAAAAATCTTGTGAATTAAGGAAATATCGAGGCATACGCACAGTATGCACATATGCCAATAACAGACTGATCAATTGCAGTCTTCAACTTCAATGGGAAGATACAAGACAAATAATACCAAATGAACATATAGTAGATAGTTAATTTACAAAATATCAATCCATCATATCAAACTTGACTTTTCCTGGTGCAAACATCAAATCGTTGTCTCAGATTTCATTGTTCATGCATTTTCATACCAATTGCTTTTCGTTCTCGTCCTTTCCCTTATCAATCTTCTACTGCAATACATCCTATGCCTGATCATCGTTATATACTACTGATGTGGATATAAGTAGTTCACAACACTAAACTACATTAGATTAACCATAGCAAAGTGAATTTTAACAATGTAACATCCATCCATCCATCCATCCATCCATCAGAATATGATCATATCAGTTTGTTTCTTTCATGTTCTAACTTTATGACAATCCATTTTAAATAATTGAATGATACAAAATAAATTTTAAGAAAAAAAACTAAAAAAGTTGGATCCGAAATTAAAAAAAAGAAAGAAAGAAGGATTATGATAAAGAAAATAGTGTATGTGCGTGTGTGTGTGTGAGTGTGTGTGTGCAACACAATTCATGGGGATATAGATGATACAATGAATATAGTTTAATTTGAACAAGCTAAATCATCCTGTAAAATGAGAAGAATAAACAAAACAAAACAAAACAAACAAGCAACTGTAACATGATCACATTGGGTTAGTTTTATGTATACACAATGCCATGTTTATGAAATGTAATAAAAGTTGATCTTTTTTTGGGGGGGTTGTTTTGTTTTTTTCTTCTTTCTGTTCTTCTTCTTCTTCTTCTTCTTTTTTTCTTTAATATCAACAATAAAAGTGAAGATGGATTACAGATATACATGGAACACTTTGAATTTGTTACTTTTATAAAAAGAAAAGAAAAGAAGAAAAAAGAAAAGAAAAATAGATGAAGATAAAATAATAGAAGAAGGAAAAAAGAAGAAAAAATGTTTTATCTTTTCTAAGTGTTAACTTGTAAATTATTGTTTAAAATTAAATAGAGGCAATATTGAAATAGTTTGCAAAAGATGTACATATAGTCAACAAGTGACTAATCAATTACAGATTGAAATCATGAGTCAGTTGAAGCTAGACCACCATGGAAAACCTGGAAGCACTGAACGGCCGTTTCGTCCTAGTATGGGACTCCTCAGCAGTGCGCATCCACGAACCTGCACCCCGCAAAATTCGAACCCAAGACCTACTGGCTTCGTGCGCGAGCACTTAACCATTAGACAGTTTTATATATAACAATGGAAAGAAATGAATTTAAAATTTCATCCCTTTGTACTAACAGGTGACTATCAGAACTCAGTAGCTAAGTAGAGAATGTGATGGCGTTTGAAACCTATGATACTAAGTTCGAGTTACGGTGTAGAAATCAACTTTCAAATGCAAATACATTCAGTTGACGAGTCCCAAATAGGACGAAACACGTGTTAAACTGAATTTCACTGCTAGCCACTATCCATCTTTGCTTATAAAGCTTATAACCTAAGGCGACAACGAGGTAGTCCTCATACGATGCACATATGCTAGCAAGTGACTAATCAATTGCAGTTCTAAATAACAATACGAAGAAACAAGTAAAACAACAATGCCCACTGAATTTAAAAAAGGAGCAATGTTTATTCACTGTACAAAAAGAAACAATGTATCCTTGAGGTTTGCTATTTGATATTTAGCGTTTTGCTAAGCATTTTTAGTGAGTTAGTTTTCCATGGGATGAGGTTGCTAACCTTTTGCCTAACCCTCCTCCTTTATCCGGGCTCGAGACCACCAGTGACCCAAGAGAGGCTCCAGGTGGTGTTTATTGATATTGAGAGGCAATAAATAAATGAATGAAACTCATAGATCAATTATATTATGGTGTTGATTCGCTAGTTGGTGGTCTATGCTCGACTGGGGATTATAAACGTAAATAAGTTAAGTAAGTAAGTTGATTTGATAACTCACGAGATGTTGTCATAAATTCTACAATTATCAGTACTTCTATAAAAAAAGAATTCAGTCATTATTATCACAAATCAGCTGATAAATCTAGCATAAAGTAAATATCTATTTATAAAGGTAGTCTGTGAAGATATTTGTATGAAATTGTCTGATTCGGGGACTTCTGTATCTGTAATCTTCGCTGAGAACCTTTTATTAGTGTGAAATTGTGGAAATTGTTGAGCTTTTAATTGAGATCATGAATCGATTAATGTTAGACTGCCATTGAAAGCCTGAGAGCACTAAACGGCTATTTCGTCCTAAAATGGAACTCTTCAACAATCTGCATCCATGATCTTCTACAAAAGATTCGAACCGAGGACCGTTAGTCCCATGTTCAAGATCGTTGATGTGTACTGCTGATGAGTCTCATACTAAAATGAAACGACCATTTAGTGCTTCTAGATCTTATATAAGTCGAATATATACAAATCGTAGTGACTGAAAACAAAACAGTTTCCCGAAGTCTGATTGTTTTTCAAACTGATCTTACTCTTTTCCACAAAATAATTTAAATTATCTAATTGTAATCTAAAATCAATCAATAAAAGTGATGCGTCTTGCGAATTGAACGCTATATTCGTCTCCTAAGCTATTCTGTAACCCCCGAGCTAGAACTGTACAGCGACCTGAACACAAGAGAAAAGATGCAAAGTATGTGAGAAAATACTTTACTCCAAGGTTCATTTTTGTACATAAAACACGGGTATTTATAGATGTTGACATTTGTTAAATCAACATCATATTTTAGCCAATCCGCGAAAACACATATTATGCTACTGACCAATAGTAGAACACTACGTTGACATTTTAGATAGCTCCATCATGCTCTGATTGGCTTGGACTCTTCGGCTCCCCTAGGGCCTCTGGAGGCTCCGTTGCAGTTCTCGGTAAGCCGACTCAACAAAAAGGAAACTAAACGTTGAAATCAAGTCTATTACTTTCTCTTGATGAGTTAACTTATCATCTGATTTATGTTATGCTGGAGAATTGAATCAATTTTTCCAGTTTAACAGGTAACGATCACTTGGTTAATCTATTAATATCAAGTAAACCGATTGATTATTAAATCATCCAAATCAATAAAAATGGTGATGAATATAACCGACGAAATTGCTTCAATTAAACTATTGTAGTCAATTAATCAGTAAGTTACTTCAAGATCTTTTGGAAGTTGTAAAGAGAGGTTTTAGCTCATAAATTCTAAACGTTTTGTAAGCAAAACAGGTATCATCAACGGTATTATATGATCGTCACGTTGATATTCAAAGATGATTCCCTTGTAACCTAAAGTTGTGGGTTCTGTACTTGACTGGATCATGGGTTTCCGCTACTGAAGAGTTTTAAACTAGAACAAAACAACCTATTTCTGATTCTTAAAAGTTGTTTAACTAAGGCCAGCCAGTGATTTGAACCAGGAAATTTACTGTTTAGTTACGTGATTTGTGATGACATACTCATTCTATAGGTATTAAAATCATTGGAAAATGACAGAAATCAGTGAACACCCATTTTGTCCATTGACTGTTCAAAACTCCTTATCGAAGAAACCAAACAAGTTGGAAGCAAAGATTTTTAAACCTTGTAATAATCATGATACATTTAACCTACTACTGTTAAATATGTTACAATTGAATCACTTGAACGAATCCAATTAATATATATCCATTGGCGATAATATGATACAGTGGTTTAGGGTTGTTAATTTCCAATCATAATAACTGATGTGTTCTTGATAATGCATTGATGAAATGAGTATGAAGTCAAATGAAATCAGCTAAAATGTACCATTTGTTTTCTATTCAGTTAGTCATTCGGTTACAATGTAGGATCAGGCATATATATGAATCGATACAATTTGCCATACCTCGCTAGCACAACAAGATGAACACCGGATTCATAGAAGTTGTTAATTCATTGGTGGTAATTTATAGAAGAGAGATTGCATATAAGGATATAGTACAGGAAGAAAGAATTAGTTCGTAGAAAGAAACATATGAAGCAGTTTTAATCTCATAGTTTAAGGGAAGCTAGAGAGTGTATACACCAACACCATTGTGATCAATTCTGAGCCATGTCACACACAGTCTTGAACCATTGATTACGATAGTCACACGGACCCCAACCAAATAGTCTGCATCTACTAACATGACTAAGACTAGAAATTAGTGACTTCAATCACTGATGCCACATTTTGGTTTGGCCACCCCTAACTTTCTCTCAACCATCCCCTGTACTAGTCAGCATTGCGTATCATTGTAATCGGTGTTCAGTCATAGGTAACACGTGACCCAACCATGAAGATTCACAATCTCATCAACTGATTTACCATCATCATTCCCCAATACCCTGTATCTAACCACACTATTACTTACCTGATGATCTTAACAGACATCTGTGATCAAAGACTAATAACTTCTACTCTTAATGACCACATTTCATTTCCTTTTTTTGTTGTTGATAAACAGATGATTCAACTAATGATGATTATATTTTCATATTTTATATGATGATATGTGATATAAAAGAGAGAGAAGAAAGAAAAAAAAGAGAGAGGCAAGAGAGAAAATAATCATAAATTTTAGTTAAATGTCAACGATTCGTCTATTATTACCCTCCCCCCATCTTAGTTGGATAACTACACAATGAAATACATTACAGTGTGTGTATCTATAGAGATTACTGATGATCAGTATTCTCTATGCACCTGTATGGTATGACATAATTCCGTGGATATTTATTTATCATCAATAGTGATGTAACATTTTGTCCACATCCACACACACACACACTTGCACAAACTGTACTTCTAACTCATTATCATAGTGTTTTTGGATTCTTTTCAGTTCTACATTGATATCATCATTGTCATAAGTTTTCTTCTATTTTCTTTCTTTCTTTCTTTATTCTTTCACTGATTGACTTATTCAAGCATATTGTGAATGATTCAATGATAAAATCAATATCAGAAGAGATTTTGTGGAGATTACAGGAATTTTAATAGTTGAGATCATCAGTCAATTGAAGTTAGACCACGGCGGAAAACCTAAAAGTACTGGATGGCTGTTTTGTCCTATTGTGAGACTCTTCAGCAATGCGCATCCACAATCCCACCTCGCCAGTTTCCAACTCAGCACCTATCAGTCACGCGTGCGAGTGCTTAATCACTAGACCATTGAGCCAGCTGGCATTCAATGGATGTTAATGTCTAACTTTAACTAAAATCAATAATCAGATAATTGCGTCCTCAACTCTGCAAGTTAAGAAGAGTATGAATTTACATTTTAGCTGAGTCATTGTAGAATACTGTTGAAAAATCTTGAATGACTATGTTCATAGCTGTTTGTTGTTCATGACTGGAACCAGTTTCACAAACTTCATGTTAATCAAACAATTGAATTACTAATCAA